TTTATTTTTTGTTTTTTAAATAAACAACATGAATATTTCACAGTACATATCAAGGGTATGTTCTTTTCCAGGTCAGCTGTACATTTTATTTTTAATTTCTTAACTGAAGTCAACATGTCTTCAAGTTAGGTTATTGGGATTCAAAAATAAGACTTTTTTCAAAATGCTTTATTATATTAATAATTACATTTTGATGCTTAAACTTAGGTGATCCTAAGAATTTTTTAATGCTTTGTGATAATGGATCAGGAATTGTAAGATAACCAGAAGTTATGGGCTGTGACCAAGTGAAAAGGAATACTTTCATTATTTTGGGCATAATTCCATTTACAGCTTTAAACAATTCAAAGAACCCATCATGATTTGATATTGGATAATGTTTTTGTTTGTAGCATGGGGCTGACGTTAATGCAAAGGACATGCTAAAGATGACTGCACTTCACTGGGCTACTGAACACAATCATCAAGAGGTGGTGGAACTCTTAATAAAATATGGAGCAGATGTCCATGTTCAAAGTAAATTTTGCAAAACTGCATTAGACATTGCAATAGACAATGGAAATGAAGATTTAGCAGAAATATTACAGGTAACTTTTGATTCATAATGCTCGTTTATACAGCTAATGAGTTAAACTATAAATATAATAGTGCAAGGTTGTATAGTGATTAAACTGATGGTACTCCCCCCCAGTTAATGGTATAGAAATGATCTCTTATTAATTCATATAATCTGTCTAAAAATTGCAGAAGAATTATGTTTAGCCCTGTTAATCCATGGGATGAGGGCCTTTAGTCTTTTTTACCTTGAACATGCTGACATGAAGAATTAACTGGGATCTTTGCAGTTAAGATATGGTCTCTAAACTCAAAGCTATCATAAAATGTAGCAGTGTGTTCTGCCAGCTGTGTCATCTTGGGGGAGGTGGGTTACATGAGTTGGAGTGGGGTTTTGGGGTGATGGAAGACCTTGTTCTCAGAAACTAAACCAGGGGTGGGCAATTTTATTTTGGCTGGAGGGCTGCTTAACAAGTTTGGGTGAGCTGTCGAGGGCTGCAAGGGTAGCCTCGCCCCTTGACTGGTGTCCACCCCTGGCTGCCATCCTGGGACCGGACATCCTGCCCCTAAACCCTGACCTTTGCCACCGTAAGTCCTTCCCCTTGCCCTGAAAGTACTCCTTTTGCAGGGGGGGAGGGGAGTTGCCATCTTGAAACTGGGGGAAAAAAACATACACTAAAAAAATTAAATATCTATAACTTATTTTAATTTTATTTAAAAAAAATATTTTGTCCTGATGCACTGCGCCAACACACGTGAATCTAGAGGTGATTGCATAGTAGCTCAAAATACACTCTTACTCTTGTATATTGGGGGGGTA